GCCACCATGCCCAGCTAATTTTTTGTATTTTTAGTAGAGACGGCGTTTCACCGTGTTGACCAGGATGGTCTCAATCTCTTGACCTCGTGATCCACCCGCCTCGGCCTCCCAAAGTGCTGGGATTACAGGCTTGAGCCACCGCGCCCGGCCCTATCTACCTATCTTAAATGAAATTCGTTGCCCCCTTCAACTCCTACTTCATAAACTAACACTGAGAGCTTGTTAAGCTGGGTATCTAAATTACCTTTAAAGCCCTCCCTTGGAGTTAGGTACTAGTTTTATCCTCATTTTGCTGAGTTGGAAAATGAGGCACAGAGCAGTTAGGCAACTTGCTGGAGGTCACACAGCTATTAGGTGTCAGAGCTGGATTGAAATTCAAATCTGATTCCAGAGCCAACACTATTAACCACTACGCTCTACTGCCTCCCTGTGGCGGTTCTCCCGTTGGGAGGGCATCTTCAGCAGCTTTCACAGATACCGTACCTCCCTAGCCCACAACACAAACTCAATCTCCCTGTTGCTTTTCGTAACAAACCCTATGCCCTGTGTTCATATTTTTGACATGCATAAAATATTGCCCCACCATGAGAAAAAAATACTTTGTTGATGTGTGTGTGTTTTAACCAGTAACTACCACTTTCTTTCAGAACCATTAGAAAGAAAAACAATTTCTCACCCTTCCTATCTAAAACCAAAAGCATTCACTCACTGTCCATCCACAGCACATGTTGGAAGCCACTTAGAGGCCCCGGGGGTTGAATCTAGTGAAGAGAATCTGATGATGCTTGGTGCACTTTGGGGTGAATTCATTTTGACACCTAGCTCTGAAGTTTTAGAAGTATCATTGTTCTTCATATCGGTGTTTTAGATAGAGGAGGCACACTAATTTTTTACTTTTTCTTTTCTTGAGACAGAGTCTCACTCTATCACCCAGGCTGGAGTCCAGCGGTGCAATCTCAGCTTACCGCAGCCTTGACCTCCCAGGCTCAAGCGATCCTCCTACCTCAGCCTCCCAAGCAGCTGGGACTACAGGTGCACACCACCATGCCTGGCTAATTTTTGTATTTTGTAGAGATGGGATTTTGCCACATTGCCCGGGCTGGTCTTAAACTCCTAGGCTCAAGCAATCCTCCTGCCTTGGCCTCCCAAAGTGCTGGGATGGGAGTGAGCCACTGCGCCCAGTCAAAATGTTCCATGTCTTTATCCAGATGGCAGTTATCTGGGTGTCCATGTAGGTAAAAATGCACTGAGTGGCTGGGCACAGTGGCTCACTCCTATCATCCCAGCACTTTGGGAGGCTGAGGTAGGAGGATCACTTGAATCCAGGAGTTCAAGACCAGCCTGAGCAATATGGCAAAATCCAGTCTCTACTAAAAATACAAACATTAGCTGGGCATTGTGACTCAGGCCAGTAATCCCAGATACTAAGGATGGTGAGGCATGAGAATCACTTGAACCTAGGAGGCAGAGATTGTAGTGGGCCAAGATTGTACCACTGACCTCCAGCCTACCTGACAGAGTGAGACTCTGTCAAAAAAAAAAAAAGGCATTGAGCTTCACACTTTAGATTAGAGCACTTTACCCTCATTACTGAATTACTGAATATAAATTGCACCTTAAGGCTAGGCATGGTGTCTCACGCCTATTATCTCAATATTTTGGGAAGCTAAGGTGGGCAGATCACCTGAGGTCAGGAGTTCCAGGCCAGCTGGCCAACACGGTGAAACCCCATCTCTACTAAAAATACAAAAATTAGCCAGGCCTGGTGGCACACACCTGTCAGCTACTCAGGAGGCTGAGGCACGAGAGAATCGCTTGAACTTGGGAGGCAGAGGCTGCAATGAGCCAAGATCGCACCACTGCACTCCAGCCTGGGCAACAGAGCAAGACTTCATCTCAACAACAATAAAAAGTAAATTGGATTGGAGTGCAATGACTCACACCTGTAATCCCAACACTTTGGGAGGCCAACACTAAGGAGTCTTCCTAGCTGAAGTGAAGGTTTCCCAGGCTTTCTCACGAGATAATGCCTTTTAAATTTACAAAAGGAAAGGCTGAAATTAAATTGCCTCGTATCTTTCCATTGGCTGAATTTCCCTGTAGCGGCCTCTTGCTGAAGCCTGGGGTCTCCCTGGCAGCTGGGCCGGGAGAAGGCAGGAAGTAAATGGCTGTTCTCTGAATGGGCTCTTCAGAGAAACGAGATTGCCTCACTGCAATCACTGCAAGAAAAACAGGACCTCAAAGCTATGGGGCCCAACCAGGAACTACACAACTGGTTCCTTTTCCAGAAAGCCCACTCATAAGACGCACAGGCGGCCAATTTCCCAGGAACATATGGCACAG